GTTGACTGCTTGAAAATAATTATTTCCAGCTTTAAAGATGTCCGTCATATGACGGAGAAAGGACAAAACGGATTCATTTGGGTTTCAGGACGATGACACGAGGTATTCTTCGCAGAATCAGTCACAAGTCCAAAGCAACCCTCCTTTGGTATCCGATGAGACTTATTTGCGAAGCCCTACACCTAACTTTTCAAACGAACTAAAAGGCATACTAGAATCAGTATACAAGGTGATTCTACGAAACCCAGCTTCTCTGAATAGGCGAATGTCAATCCTTTAATAAGTTTCTAGTGAAACTGGATGCAAAGAAATGAATGAGAATTAATATAATATGATTAAGAATTCTATCAGATAAAAAAAACAAGCTTTCAATGTAACGGTTATAGATTAATCTTCTCGTAAGCTTGTCAAATTAGGTACAAAATATAAGTGAACTATTTTTAAAATCGGCAGCATTAGGAAATAACTAACCACCTAAGAATTTATACTCATTTAACACAAAAGGTATTAAGAAGCATCCGAAATAGCTTGATTAAGAAACCGATGCCTACGGAAAATTAGGAAAATAAAAAATGTTGCCTTAATAAACTAATAAAATAGGCAATCGAGATTTCGCTCATAATTCTTGAAGGACGCTCGACACCAGTAGAGAAAAATTATGTAAAATGTATTATAATTTAAAAATATATTTCACTTAGTATAATACAAATGTAAGCTAGACAGAAATACAAAATAATTATAAAGAATTTAGAGATAAATAATTGATTGTATTTATAATTAATGGTGGGTATAAATTACAAGTCACTTAAAAATAAAAATAATAAAAAAGAAAGACTGAATGATCCCACAACATGAAAACAAAAATTTTAGCAACCAAGTATGTCTTTAAGTAAAAATAGTCCGAAAGACAAGTAAAGGTTAGATAAATGGAGAATAGAATACTCAAAACTGTAAAACATAATTCTTTTTAAATAAGTTGCCTGACCTTGTTTTTGCAACTTGGTTTGAAAGTCAGTAAGACTTAGTTAAACCCATCTTGTCCATAGTATGCATAATAATTTCCAGTCGGACCGTTGACTTAGTACATTTAAAGACGTTTCCCCGGCATCGACAACAAGCCTTAAAAATATAAGAACCACACTACAACTCGTCAAAATTACAGATGAAGTAGATCGTTCGACCGATTGTCTGCTAAGCAGTTGTAAAATCTCTTCTTTCCTGATGCATTCAACAATCCTATACCCCAATAACACTCCTTGATTATCACAATTTCTTACTTGCTTATTTATAATTGGTTGTGGGTGTCTTTTTAGAGGATTTAATGAGACTTATTCACAATCCAAGGTGTTTCTCGCATCCCCCTTCACTGTGATGTGAGTGTTAATCAAAGTCTGTCATTTTAGTCCGCAATCCTCTCCCCCCAGGTCCTCTTTCATCAAAATATGGTGGCAATGAGCGAGAGAATTCATTAAACCAAGGAGATGATAGATTGAGCCTAAGGAGCAGGAAGACTAATAGGAACTGAATGAAAAGGATTGCAAAACTAAAAGGACAAACTGTGGCAACTCTTAGAACAGCCTTGGGGGGGAATGAGATAAGAAGCGGGGATTATGAATAGTCTCACAAAATCTGTTAGAAATTGGAAAGCTGAACTTGGCTTAGATAAGTAAATAATGTTGATAGTGAAGGAGTGATACGAAGATACAAAATAATTAAATCCATCATGGCAGGAGAAATAACACAATTCTTCTAAAATTGGTCAAAAGATCGAATTCATCCATATTTTTGACGAGTTGTAGCATGGTTCTAATAATGTCAAGGCTTAATGACGATGCCGACGAAACGTCTGGTAATGTACAGAGACCACGGTCCGACTCTGAAAAGTATCATCCATACTATGTACTAAGAACAAGGTGCGTTTCTTCAGGTCCTTCTGACAAAACGACCAAATTGCGAAAACAAAGTCAAACAGCTTGTATAAAAGGAAATGAGACCGTGACCATACTAAAAGCTGAACCATCTTGGCCTTCACATTTTCGAATAAGTCTCGTTAACTTGGCCTTGGTGTAAAAAGGATTCCTCTAAGTTGGATTTCGGTCTATACCTAACCTGCTTCCTACAAAAAAACTAAAAATGTTAAAAATAAGTCACAGAGTATATTTGTCTGGGGTTAATCAGTCAGCTGTAAATACACATTTTTATTGGCAGGACTAATGTAGATATGCAAAATTTGTGCTTTCCATTAGAAATCGATTGCATCACTATAAACCAAGTTGAGATGGTTGCCATTGAATTCCACTCAGTCTTTCCTCACTAAAATATTTCTCATTCTTGTGAGGTCAAAGCATGAAGTGTAAATTTTTTTATTAGAATTATATCTACTAATAAATACTAATAATTGTAAAACTGAAGCGTTAGGGTTGATTCACTAGGGTAAGTAAATAAAAAGGAAGGTTTAATATAGAAAATTCAATATGGTCGAAAATATGCGAAAAATTTACATGAAACAAGAAAAGGCAAATAGAGTCCAACCTGAGGCCATGAATGTTGGCAAAGCTCATAGCTGCGAGACGGAATGAGTTCGTTTTCTAGATCGGTAGCAGTACTCAGGAAAGAAGATAAGAAGTTTATTAAAGTTACGAGTTCTGGGGTCGTAACTTGACCAGAGAGTCGACCCATAGTAAGTTCCATTAACCAAGCATATTCGAGTGCATCGGAAATAAGTGGCAGCTGATAATGACTAAACATGGCATGACCGCGGAATTCAAGACCAGCTAATTGCAAACGTCCAGGATTCATAACTGATGTGGGGCGAGGTGTCTAGAAGATAGGTAAAAAACATAAAATTCGCTTTAAAGCTATTAAATCAAGAAACCAATCCCGAATAACTGCCGAATAATTATGAATGCTTTTATTGAACGTATGAAGACCAAGCTGGTGTGGTATTTTGTGTGTTCGCAGTCTCCTTTCGTTATATAAAAGTTGTTTGACCTCGTTTTCGCAACTTGGTCATATTGGTGGGAAGACTTAGAGGAACGCACCATGTTCTTAATCCCGTGTATGCATAATAATTTCCAGAATCGGACCGTTGATGTGGTACATTTCCAGACATTTCGCCGGCATTGTCAGTGAGGCTTGCCATTCTCAGCACCATACTACGACTTGTCAAAGAGACAAGTGTAGCAGATCATTCGACCTAATTTGTGCTAAACAGTTGTGGTATCTCTTCTTCTGTCCTGGGCCATTCACATTTCTTATATTCTCGTATCACGCCTTCACTATCACAAATTTTTTTCCTTGCTAGTGTAGTGTGATCTGGGCGGATTTCATAAGAACCCTACATACTCAGAGGCTTTAGTCTAGAATTAGTCACCCAGACGCAGGGGATGAGTAATAACTCCTCGACTAACACAGATGGGGTGGCAGGAGTCGAATGAAATATTTGAACCAGGAAGATAGCAGACGGATTCTATGGAGCAAGAGAGAGACTCTGATAAGACCTAGGTAAGGAGGACTGCGTAACAATATAGCAGAATCTGATCCACATTCTCAGCACAAGGATAAAGGGGGGTGAGAACGCCAGCGTGAAGTGTGGAGGGTTCTTATGAAAGCCGCTCAAAAAGGCACACGACAATGTAATTAAATAAGCAAGTAAAAATTGAGATAGTGAAGGCGTGATACGAGGATATAGGAGAGGTGAATAGCCCAGAACCGGAGAGATACCATTACTCTTTAGCACAAATATGGTCGAATGATCGACTACATTTGTCTCTTTGACGAGTTGTAGTATGTTGCTAAGAATGGCAAGATTCACTGATGATGCCGGCGAAACGTCTGGGAATGTATCACGTCCACGATCTAACTTTGTAATTATCATGCATACAATGCACTCCGGACTAGGTGCATTCCTTTAAGTCTTCCTATCAATATGACTAAGTTGCGAAAACAAGGTCAAACAACTCCTATATAACGAAAGGAGACTGCGACCACACATAGAACAACACCATCTTGGTCTTCAAATCTTCGATAATTTAATTTCTCACAACAATATAAGTAGGCTTCATGTGATCTGGCTTCACCAGATTTCATCAAAACCTGCCATAAAACTTGAAATCGGATAGTGAAACGTAGTCTCGATGAAGAATCACTACACTACACCCATACACCTATAATTGTATGAAAATTCAACTACGAGTCCTTTATTACCTAAAATAATTAGATCAAGTGAGCTCATATATCTGATCTACTAGTAATCTCGAAAACCTACTTGGCGAAAAATAGCTAATGCAGTCGATTGCTAAAACAAATAAAACTTTTCTTCCAAGATATGAAGACCAAGAAAATGTGCCCCTCGATATTGGTCGCAGTCTCCTTTCGATTTATAGAACTTGGTACTTCGTAGTCGCAACTTGGTCTTCTTGTCAGGGCGACTTAGTAGAACTACTATGGTAGATGACTTCGGACTAGGTGCGTTCTACTAAGTCGCCCTGACAACAAGACCAAGTTGCGACGAGGTCAACCCATTTCTTCGTCGAAAATCCCACCATATAAATGTGATAGAAAATGCCCAGACTTCCTCTAAATTCACTTCTGCTCTGTTAGCCAAGGGCATTCACGGAAATGTGGAGTATTTGTTAATGCGTTCAAACGCTACGTTGCATTATCCGAGTTTAAGTCCCGAGAGTTTATTGAAGAGACCCTATTTCGTTTAAGATGATAAGGAGAGTGGTAATGTAATTTTTCCACAAGATAAATATACCATACGTTTCCTTTGAACTTCACATAACCCTGCTTTCTCAAAGGTATCCTCATCCAGGCAGGACAGCAGTTTTAACCTGACTTGGTCTCATCAGCACCAACAGCGGGACCCTAAATGTAATTGAAGCGTATTATCTAGACATATCCTCTTATCACCTTGAACGAAATAGGGTTAATATATCTCATACATCTAAATGGGTCCGCATATGACCTCTTTCCTGCTTCGAAATATTTATCTAGAGTTTATTCTACCTTTGAATTTAGAATATTTTAACTTGATTTGACTACAAAATATCAAATATATGCAAGGAAAAATCCAGCATCGATAGTTATTCTATGTCAAAGGGTTAATTATACATAAAAATCATCCGAAAAAATAAATAATGCGACCTTGTCTGGCGAATGTAAACTGTAATAACATTTTGTTAGATGAAAACTTTTCCAAGGTATTAAATAAAGTAATTGAAAAGCCAAAACCATGTTAGATCCAAAATAGCTCAAAAACGTAAGTAGTGCATCTCAGCACTTGCTGTGCGTAAGCTCTAGATTTATCCTCCTCAATGTCGATAGCACTTATCCTGCAAAACTTACCGCTATTCTTTATATTAGCAATTCAAGTGATGATGCCAATAGAGCTAGGAAATAGGATGATCAGAATTCAGATATTGATCAAAATAATAATCCTATAATTATCAGAAGTTTGGTAACTAATTGATGCTGATGGTAATACAAAGAAAACATAATAATCACAAGATATTAAGTGGCAAAAATTGAAGACAATTTTTTGTGCCGAGCACGCAAGAGCAGTATCAATATTATCTTCACATCCCCTCGAATTTTTACGACAATATGCACCCAAGTAACAGTTAATTTAGGAAAAAATAAAATCCCTAAATAGTCTGTTTCCTTTCGCCATTATTTATGTCTTAATTATTTAAGTCAGTGATTCCCAAACTGTGCACCGCAGCCTCTACAGGGGCGCCGCGAAATATTGTAAAGGCTTCCATTTGAAAAAATGTGCAGTGATTTGCAGGCCCATCCATCATATTAACTATTAAATATTAATTTAATGTTAATAAAGTAAAAAAATAATGAAGGTAAACCAGTTTAATTTATTTTCATCTTTTACTTACGAAGTCATACTTAAGGTAGGGCGCTATGGAAAAATTTTAATTGAAAAAGGGTGCCGCGACTAGGAAAAGTTTGGGAACCACTGATTAAAGTAATAAAATTATTACAGAAGAAAACGAATTTATGGACAGATCATTGTTGATCTGACTATCAGTGTTGAAAAGATTCATACCTAGATCTCATAAGAAAACGGCGGATTCCTTGAGGCGGATGGTATAAAGTTAATTATTTTTCGTATGTAAGTAGAGTTTCGAGACTACCAGTAAAGTTACTTAGACAAACGAAGTGAGATATTTCTAGCTGTAAAAGGATGTTTTATGGAGAACTGCATCAGTATTCGCATCCAATGAAAATCAAACAGAATATAAAAAGGAATGCACTGTAATCCTTTGTCGAGATCAACTCAAGAAGCTCAAGGGAAAAATGTCAGAAATATAATAGAGATAGAAAAAGAATGTGGTATACAAAAAAGTACCTTGAGGTTGTCATAAAGGCATAGTAAGATAGGCGATATTAGTATTTGAAATTTAGTTTCACGACAATTTTTGTCCAGCTCAAGTCCAATGCAATCTATAAATGCTGTTGGACATGGCGGAGTTTCCGAGTTACAGTGCTAAAAAGAAATAGGCGAGAAAAAAATTAAAAAATGTGATGGTTATGAAAAATTGGCTGAACAAATATATTGGAAAATTTAAATGAATTCGTGGCAATCAAAGAGGCAAAATAAATTAACCATTAAGACCAAGATAGTTTGTCCCAGGCTTTACATCTAGGTTGTTAAATTTGCCCCGTTATCGCAAATTAATCGGGATTGCTAGGAGACCTTGATAGACAGTACTGCCTCCTCAACCATTTTAGCTATGATCATTTTCAGCATCAGAATGTTGACTTAATACATTCCTGAACGTCTCAATGGCATCGTCAATTAGATGAGTCAGTCTTAGCATCGTGTTACCAACGTGACAAATGAAGGGAGTCCTATTGACCAATTTTCAGTTAAGCTGTTGCAAAACCTATCATAGCCCCCATTCATGTATCCCTATCTTTAAACTTTACTTTATATATATATAATTTACATATCTAGAAGTTACTATCTCCGTTCCATTGTATTTGAAAAGTGTAATTTGATGAGGATTTAGTGAAGGACAATCACCTTTTGCTACCGATTATATTATGCTAGCCGCACGGCTACTTGAATTAAATAGACATTTTCACTAATATATTCAATTAACCAAACTTGTCACCAAAAGTAATTATCTTATCTAACTGGCCGTCTATACACCCACAATCTTGGCCATTATTCATTTTAAATTTGCGAAAGCATGGAAATGGAGTAATCGAAAATAACATAACATATTAATCTGACAAGCAACCTGAAGGAATATCAGAAAAATCGAAATCAAATCCACACAAATACGAAGAGTAACTGGGTTTAGATGAATCTACTGCGATAACATAGTTGGAGACTTCATTTCGTATGAAAGTGCATGAGAAAGAGGTTCGAAGGTCGAAATTACCAGAAAACGGTTGATTCCCATTGTCCTGCATCCTTTTGGCTTCATTACGAGGTAAAGGTTGACGTAGTTACCCGCCTCGTTTCGGGTAAAAACGGGCTGAGATTTCGTCCATCATATAATGGACATTATCGGAGCTGGAGCTCATTATTGTAAAAGTGTCACGTTAACACTAGGTCAATGAGACTATTTAGTTTATCTGACCTCTCATATTGACTTAATTAAGCAAAAGAAAATTAATAGGCACAGAAAGGTAGAATGGTTTAGTTAATTATCTTTGATATTGGTTCTCTTATATCTAGTGAGACCAAACAACGAATTTCTTCTTAATACATGTTTATAC